GTAGAGAATAAGCGAGAGCAAATAAAGGGGTAGCTAAGGGTGAGTGCCAAGAGGGTGCGAAGAAGCAAAGAGGAAGAAAATTAGCCTGGCTGGAGTTGTATGCCGGCCGGAGGGTTGCAAACACCTAATTAGCCACTCAAACACTGTCGAACAAAAAGCTCCATGTTATTAAAACGTCATATAAAAGTTGGCGGAGCTCTTTGAGAAAAAAGAGGTATAAAAAAAAATTGAGAAAAAAAAAAATTACTTAGAGGGGATGATGAAACGTGGCTGATTATTAATATGGGGGGGGGTGGGTTTCTGATGAATTCCACCCTCTTACGTCTACCGTGTACGACGAGTCGGTGTAAAGGCTGAGCTCTGAACTGTGATGCTGGACAAAGAAGGTCAAAAGGTAACTGACTGAACTTTATAGGTTAAAAATGTTTAAAAACAGCTGGATCCTTCGTTAGCCGGCATAACGCGTATAGGAAGCTTGAACTTTGATCTTAAAAAAGGATGTAGGATAAATTTTCATTTTATTACCGCCCTTTCGAACCGCCTGACTCTTTGACTTCTTGCCACCCTCGTTAGATATAGCTGGTTGATATTTTTGCACTGGCTAAAGTTCTCCCTTGCAGCCACTCGCCCAGCCAGTCATCCAACCAGACGAACGAAGCCCTAGCTTTTTCGTTGATAAATTGTTCTAAGACCGTTTTCATAATTAATACGGAACCACAGGGACGCCGGTTGCAGCACCCTGCCATTCGTAACCATCCTCTGTGGCCAGGTCGGAGGGGAGTCATTCATCGTGGAATTAATAACAAGGTTGGTATTATTTAACTGCGTAATGCGAAGACTTCCCATTCGTCATGGCGTAATGAGGGACCTTTACCTGGGAAAGACCAGCCCTTATATATTCCTTCCTCTTTGTGGCCACCTTCCCCATTTTCAGCCAACAGGCAACTACGACCACGGCTATTTTCTCTCTCTCTTTCTCTCATCACCAGCCATCTGTCAACGGACAGCCGTATATATAACTTGGCAAATTAATATTCGGTGGGTTGTTGAAATTTTTAACGTCCACCCTTCTCTCTCTTCGCGCCCAACTCTTTCCTCGCACCTTTGTTTCTCAACCCACTCGGAGCTCTCTCGTACCCTCATAGACTCCGGCAAAACCGAGCTGCTCGTTAGGTCTTTGGGGCAGATCGATTGTCAAGTGGTCAGGAGTTCAGCAGGTCAAATTCCTCAGCAGCGAATGAAAAGGACTAATTTAATAGGTAAAACTTTAACTGATTACTGCGATTGAAGAACAATATTTTATTACCCTAATGACAATTATTTTTCGTCCTATATATATCATTTCCAAACTTAAATCAAATCAATCTAGAAATTATGTATTAATCAAGAATTCGTTAGGGCGGTTGCATGGCTGCTTGTATGTATAATAATAACAAGAACGCAAACTTATTGACCAGAGACATTTTCAATGCACGACAAGTAGTAGCGTCCAGACTGTAACAGGTAACACTTGAGAAAACTTGATAAGGGATGACAGGAGTGAAAGGGGACGAAAGGGCTACCCGAATGCATTCCAGGCTATAAAATTGCGAACCTATTCCGATAAATCGTCAAAAGTTTCAAGTGGTTCACTTGAGAAGCACCCTTAAACCTAATAAAATGTAGTCGCGTCTCGGGAGCCACGGGACAAGAAATTCTTGAAGATACGAACGTTCGTTTCCGCACGCGTGCACGTTCATTCGGCAAGCAGCTTAGACAAGGAGGAAACGTGCAGTTATAAGGGCGAAGAGAAGAAAGAGAAACAATCTGGTAAGGACACAGAGACGAAAAGTGAAAGGTAGAAAAAGACTTGTGTGTAAATCGTTTTATAGGTATACCGACCTATCCAGGAAGAAGAAATATTCAGATCTCGATCGAAGCGTCGCGACGTCGAATACGTAGTACACAGAGAGGAGCGTCGTAAAGATGTAAACTTTTCTGCAGCTTTAAAAGCTTCCTTCCATAGCTATACGGGTCCTATGCACATTGGTACTGGTATTTATACCGTACTGTACCACGTGTACCCAGCAGTAGTACCAACGTCAGTATTCTAAGTTTCATTCCCATCCCCTATTGTATCTAGGAACATCCCCTATTTTCTAGATCCGGCATCTACCAGTGTCGTTCGTTTGTCGAAAAGTTGATCGTAAAGGAGAAAAGTGCGACAGTGGGTTGCTATACGTGTATAGGTATAAAGCGCATAGCAATACCAACCTGAAGACTTCACTTTTACATCCACTACGTAAACGTAGATAGACCCCGATCCGGACGAGACAAAGTTTGAGAGTTCGAAGGTGTTTTCAGCGTACAGAGAAGAAGGAAGGAAGGAAGAAGAAAAAAAGAAACAAGAGAATATTCGACGGAACCAATGGAAACTGCCTTTACGATTCTCGCTTATGTGCCACCAGCAGGTTTACAGGTACCTAAACTTCGAAAAATGGGTTGTTCCTCCTCCGTCACCTTCCAAACAGATTATACTCTACGTTCCACCCACACGCGGGATACGTCGAGTAAAATGTGACATCTTGAAAAATATATTTCTCCTCCATATAGAATAAAGTATAATACATCGCGTGTGTACCTACCTGAGGTGGATAGTGCTCCGGCAAGGCCCCAAGGGCCTCCCTGTATGCAGACAAGGCTCTCTGAAGTCTTCCTTGGTCCGCGTAAAGTGCACCCAGCTGAAGTAGCGCTTGGACCCTAGCAGCCTCGTGCGCTCTTCTGTCCTTTAACCCAGACCCATCGAGGGATGCACCGGCACGTAAAACGGCAGCAGCTTCGCTACCCCTACCGGAAGACGCAAGAGCAGCACCCAGATTGACGTATGCCTCTGTAAGAATAAAACAGAATGCCAGGGATTTTATTCGAGCAACGGTCCGATCGTCTTCTTGGCACGTGAATCTTGGGGTAGTTCGAAAGAGAGAGAGTGAGAGAGAGAGAGACCCATAGTAAGCGTGTGAGAGCGTTCTATCTGTCGGGTAAGCCCGTTCCTGCCCTCCCCCCATCGGGGGGTTGAGTGGTACGATGAACTTTCAAGACGGGCCAGTCGTTTGCTGCTGCACCAAGTGCCCAGTCGGGAGACGAAATGGCTAAAGTCAGGTTAACCGTAAAATTGCAAGGCACACAAGGCACACAATTCAGCTGCACGATGGAATCTTAATTTTGCGAGTATAGGTCGTAGAGCGCATTTCCTCTGGTTCCACTCTTCCATTCTCTCATTCTGAATTCACTCTTTCTCCCTCTCTCTCTCTCTCTCTCCCCCCCTCTCTCCCCCCTCTCTCTCTCTCTCGTAATTAGGAAGCAAACAGAGCCGCGGTCTTGCCAAGTTGGCGGACCTAGAGATGAAACAGCAGTTTCCGGCTACCGTCCTTTTTCCGCCTTCGCCCTGAAGGACCACCTGACTCTCTTGGACTTGAAGTCGTGCTATGGCCTGAAGTGGAGTTAAAAGGCGACGGGTGTGGAGGCTAGGGGTAGCGATGGGTATATTTCACTGCCAAACGCAGTGCAGGTTTGTCGTTCTGTTTTTATGAGAATTCATCGTATTTTTCTAACGGTAGGAGAGATGGGGTTGAAAATACTGATTAATGCGAAAAAATCGAAAGCACGGATACATATATTGAATTCGGTCTGTACTATACAACAATTATCCTGCAATTTCTGATGGACCTAATTTGTCATTTTTTTTTTTTTTTTTTTTTTTCAAAATTATGGACCCTCCATGAAAAGATACAAACTATCCAGCGTCGATTTACATTAACGCGAAATGGTGAATGTCTGAAGAGAAAATCTTTTTTTTTTTTTTTTTTTTTTTTTTTTTTTTTTTTTTTTTTTTTTTTTTTTTTTTCAAAATTATGGACCCTCCATGAAAAGATACAAACTATCCAGCGTCGATTTACATTAACGCGAAATGGTGAATGTCTGAAGAGAAAATCTTCCTTCTGATGTAAACGCTCGTAAATTAGCCACGTCCAGCTTTTAAAACACACGCTACGTTCGAGTAATTAGTGGCTCGATCGGCCGCCAATTTGTGGATGGTTGCCACAGGCCGCACTCGTACCCCCAGCATCCCTTCTTTCTATACGGACATGCAGGGAAGGTTTGCGAACACCCTATTTCATATATATATATATGAATGAAGTATACACACACAAAGTGGAAGCCTTATCGACCGGAGATGGAGGTGGGTAGGTACGAGGGAAAAGCCAGAGAGGAGGACAAGCAAGCAAGGGATGCGAGTGCCAATATACTGGCCAGTTAGGGGTTGGTTAAAAAGAGACGGGGCGGCGGCAGTTACGTGGTGCGAGGTGCTGCTGCCGATGGAGCCTTTGGATATAGTGAGTTGCTGCCATGGGTTACATATATATGTGTGTATATAAGCCAACGTACATATATGGCACTAGGGCCAACGTTGAAATTTGGCGGTGGTACGATGGCGGCAGCAGTGGTACAGCAGGGATGCTGGTGAGAGGCAGAAAAAGCTTTTAAAGGGGAAGCCCCATTAGAGGGTTACCAGCCGGGACCGGGATCGGTAAACCGCTACCAAAACGTTTCCACGGTTGAGCGAGCTCTGCCACGATTTTACGATCCTTCCAGACTCACCTATCCTGCCACTGACATGAACTGGCGGCCATTGATACCAGTGTAAAAAAAAAATTCCTGTATCCTATAACCCCCGAATACCTTTCTAGGTGTTTCTACGGTCGACCGTGATTACATCTGTGAATCTCTGGCGAACATACCGACCGTTATAGTATGTTAGTCCTGACATCCAGGTCGCCGTGAACAGTGTACACCAGATACACTTTGCGAACTGGTCTGTTTGCTCGGTCGCTCACTTGCGTGGTCACCCGTTCATTCATTTGTTTGCTCGTTTGTTTGTATGTTTATTCCTACGTTTATCTCGCTCGTTTATCTCGCAAAGCTTACGTTAATTGTGTACACTGAACAACACGCGTGTCTCAAGAAGCGATCAGTAGGCGTGATTAGGGTAAAATTTTAAAAAAGCTATAACGATAAAGTTTCAAAAAATCGTAAAAAAAATGGTTTGAAAAAAATTTTCGAAAAATTCCACGCTGTAATACCATCGTGTACGTCCAGACGCTCGGCGTCTATTGTCATTTACGTATCATGCTGCTATTTGTTGTTCAGGCCGGAGGCTCGTTTTGGGAGACGGCGTCGCGACGCAGGTGTCTCCCTCGCTGGACGATCAAATTTATATCCGGAATAGCCCCTGGCAACCATTCGCTACGCGATACTCGAGCTTTGGCCACTGGACCAATCCGATCTCTATATCAAGTACTATATATCCTACCTTGAGCATTTAAAAAAATATATATATATACAGCATCCCGTAAATTTTTTACTTCGGGACCTCTTTCATTATTTTTTTTATCTCATCGTATACACGAAATCAAAAATGTCTACCACCCCATTCAAATGTCATGTGTTATATATAATGCGTCTGCATTTCATCTCTCTCACTCAGATCTTAACTCCAAATGAATATGATACAAATGTATGCCATTCAATTTCAATAACTCTGGACCACTAAGAGGACCCTAGCTGCTTTTATACAGAGTAACGTCAGAGTTAGGTCGAATGAGATGTATCCATTTCCGATGCACCGATGCATTCTTCCAATATCGTAATGGCGATTGGGATCCTGTATCCAGCAGCAGGACGTTACGTAAGGGCTACGCCGCTTCGTTAGTACGATTGTACAGGAATGCGTAGCGAGTCCTTCTGGTTATCTCTGACCCTTTCTATATATCGCTCGATCTCCCAGTTTTCTCTTCCGTTCGTGCCGATACCCACTTATCGTAGGGCTGCCATTAGTGCGCACACACGACCCTGTTAGGAGTAACCACGAACGGACTATGTTGGAAATCCCGACGTTCGTTGTAAATGGCGACGAAGGGCAAAACCACGACGTCCGTTCCCAGACCCCTTTCCTGCGATGAGATTCCCTCCCAAATCCGCCATTCATGTATATACCCAGTAGCACTAGGTCCATTCCCGATCTCTATAGTACAATAATCAAGCCCCACCCTTTGCTACCGTTATACTCTCGAGATGGTACTTACGAGCCAAGGAAGGCCGGAAGTGGATGGCCCTTTGATAACTCAAGATGGCCTCCTCGTAATTTCTTCTGCCCTGCTGCAATATTCCTCTGTAACAAATTTGAAGGAAGGTATTAATAATTTAAATTGAAATTTAATTAACTGAATATATATATATGTATATAGTTTGATTTTATATCAAAAAGGGATCAGGAAAGGGTCCAGATCAAGTTTATCATTTTGCATTTATTTTCATCTCAGATTTTGTCGTCTTGTTTGTCAGCCAGGATGTACTTCAGTGAATTACCGGGGTGGTAATGATGAATTGACGGAAACGTGGACACAGTCTGTAGATTATGTGTATATATATATATATATATACATCTGATATTATCGGAGGTTAACTCGACAAAGCTAGTTTAGCCGGAGATCGGGAAACGTGGACACAGTCTGTAGATTATGTGATCTCAGATTTTGTCGTCTTGTTTGTCAGCCAGGATGTACTTCAGTGAATTACCGGGGTGGTAATGATGAATTGACGGAAACGTGGACACAGTCTGTAGATTATGTGTATATATATATATATATATACATCTGATATTATCGGAGGTTAACTCGACAAAGCTAGTTTAGCCGGAGATCGGGGAAAATTGAATCCTGTCTAAGCCTCCATTAGGGGAGAAAGATTATTCTCGGTCAGTACCAACATTACTTTCGTTTTAACATCCCTTATGATTCTACGACTTCCTGTCAAAATGATCTAGGTTCATTAATCCCATAAATTTGTTACGACAATTTTGCTATGGTGATCCCAATAGTTGTAATTGCTCCTATTTATCTAGTTATAAACTAAAAATATGTAACGGAGCTAAAAAAAAGTTTGAGAAGTTGTTTTTGTAAATTTGGAAAAAAAATGGAGAGTAATTTGCAGCTTTGATGCTGTTAACGTTCGTTGGGTCAGGGATTAATAATGTGGCCGCGAAATCCAAAGACTCGCCGGGAGTGTCTGTCTGACGTAAATAAGTCGGATTTGAAATTCTACGCGAATCTACGTAAAAGCGTCTTTTATGGGCAATTTCCAATGTGCCGTTTATCGATCGACGATATTGGTTTTATCGGCGAGTATTTTCACAGTGGTAAATAGACCCTGCAGATACATAATTAATCGAGCGATATTTTCTTTCTTTTTGAAAATCCTAGAATATTTTTCAGTATTTTTTATTCGCTCCAGCATCCATCGGTTCATCGATTGGTTATTGATTAATTTAATACCGTATAATGCATACTGATCCACTTGGTGTAAAATAATAGAGGGTTGAGAGCAGGTACATTTTCGATCCCTTTTTTTTTTTTCTATGTTATTCTCCATAGAAAATTTAATTGTCAACCATGACGAAATGGCGGCCACCATCGAAACGCTCTATACGCGACACTAGTAAAAATCATTAACGACATCCTTTGTGAGACGAGAAATTGTCGAGCGTCCAATATGAATACTACAGTAACGCTGCCAACACAATCGCGTGGAATGCGCTTCGTGAAAGTGCGGAAAACGCAAACGCAGACGCGAAATCCTCTATACATAGATATAGTCCGAGAGGAAAAAGCTCATCCTGATTTCGACTTTCCGATGCAATTGCGTTCGTTGATTTTCCACTCGGTCGTGTTTCCCATCGTGCGGACGCTTACCGAGTGCCGTGTTAAATTTCCTCGCACAACTCCCAACTGCACTTGCACTGCTGAAGCTGCTGACTCGAGAATTTTTCCATCCCGCACAAATTTCTACGTTGACGAACTCTTCTCTCTGCGTATACACACCGATGGGCTATATACAAAATTGAACTTCGAGTAACATAGCCATTAACAGCGTACAGATAAAAGTTGCATAAGTACGAAAATAAGTACACCAAAGTATATCTATATACAAACAAACTTTAACATACACGACTGCCATACTTAGTATATCCAAATTTAATCTCGAGCGGATAATACCTACCGCAGTTAAAATCTCGTTCGAATTCTAAGAGACGATATAACATGCAACCGATGAACTTTCCCAGCATGCATTTTATTATCCGCAATAAATAATCTTTCCGCGTAACCGTTTCAATTAATCATTGTAATGTCCGCACGTTAGCCTTAAGCATATCTACGGCAATTATTTTAATTATTCGTATGCCGAAAATACAGAGAGCCAAGATGGTAGGCAATTAGCGTAAAGTGCGGTTGCGGGAAGAAGTGCTTACCATGGACCAGAAATAAATTCAAAGTCGAAGGGGATGCATCTACGTTCGATGTAAATGGATCCAAAGCCATGCACTGGCTAGGATCGTCCTTGTTCCTGTAGAGGGTGGTTACCACCCCTCTTGGTTGTGGTACTTTTGTTGTTGTCTCTATATCTATATATCTACCACTATCTCCCTACGCTGCCTTTACATGTCTGTATGTATATATATATATATTTGAAATCGAATGCACGTGCGAGTGACGTCGCGGTCGACGTTAAAGTCTCGATCGTCACTGATACCAACGTCACGGATAACGAGGATTTCCCTAGAAACCTAGAAAACGCTTCGATGGATGTTACCATGCGGGTAATTCCTATTGAGTTATACCCCGTTAAGTTATCGTAAATGAAATCATCGACGTTATCGTTGGCCCGTTAATAAAATATTCCGGGACTTTATGGACAAGGAAGCGACTGCTGTGCGAGATGATCCTACCACTGCATTATTCATCTGGACGAGGAAGGGATGCTGTGCCATTTGATTCTAGGGATGCCGACGACCATGGCCAGAATGACTCTTACTATCAGGGAGCTGAATATTCCGTGGTAGAGAAAGGATTGGGGAGGGGGGGGGGC